AAAGAAAGAAAGAAAGAGAGAGAAAGAGAGAAATAGAGAAAAAAAGAAAGAAAGAAAAGAATGAGGATGAAGTTGAGTAAGTGCCTTCTGCTCCAGGCTGTGTTGGGTTGGGGAATTTGAGAGGCATGGGGATGGTTGTCAACTTGTAGCATGTTAAATTGACTTTTAATGAGCATCTTCAGGATTTCTGTTTGCTGCTGCATAATGAGGAAGACTTTGCTGTTATTACTTGAAATTAACCTTTTTGGATGCATCACTTACACATCATTGAAGAATAATGACTGATTTCTTTTATAAAAATGTGCTTCATAAAATAAACGTATTATAAATTTTTAACACAGAACTCACAAGATAATTTCATCTTTATTTTTCTTCATAGTACAGCTTGCTCCTGACAGTATATTCATTTTCTTGCTTATTGTCTGTCTCCCCAGCTAAGATATTCCCTGAAGAAAGGCAGGGTGACTCTGCCTGCTCACTAGAGCTTGGGTGTGAGGAACAGTGTCAGGCCTTAGAAGGTACTCAGTGAATACAAACTGAATAAATATTACTGGCACATGAAGAGAAAGGCATGGAAACTCAAAGGTTCCAGGCTCTAAAATGCCCAGGAAACATCAATGCCAGGAAGGCAATGAATCCGTTGCCCCCGGCATTGATAATCTGTTCCTGACTTCCAGAATTATCTCTGTTTGCGGACCAAGCTGGGAGCTTGGGACATACGTATCCTGTATGAATAATAAATTATTCTGTATGAATAATATTCATGTATATTATTTTGTATGAATAATAAATAAATGATAAAATATTAATAGATTAATAATAATAATTAATTAAATCACCACTTCCTTTTGCATTGTGTTACAGGCTGAATTGTGAACCCCTAAATCTCATGTGTTGAAGTTCTAACCCCCCATACCTTAGCATGTGACAGTGTTTGGAGATGGAACCTTGAAAAGGGTGATTAAAATCCCAGCACTTTGGGAGGCCAAGGTGGGTGGATCACGTGAGGTTGGGAGTTCAAGACCAGCCTGACCAACATGGAGAAACCCTGTCTCTACTTAATGCAAAATTCGCTGGGCCTGGTGGCACATGTCTGTAATCCCAGCTACTCAGGAGGCTGAGGCAAGAGAATAGCTTGAATCCGGGAGGCGGAGGTTGTGGTGAGCTGAGATCACACCACTGCACTCCAGCCTGGGCCACAAGAGTGAAACCCCATCTCAAAAACAAACAAACAAAAAAACACCATGGTCATTAAAATCAGGCCATAAGGGTAGGTCCTGTTTCAATATGACTGCTGTTCTTAAGAGAAAATTTGGACACAGAGACACCGGAGGTGCAGCCACATAGAAGAAAGATCACGTGAAGACCCAGCAAGAAAGCGACTATCAACAAGCCAAGGACAGAGGCCTTAGGAAAAACCACCCCTGCTGACACCTTGATTTCAGACTTCCAGCCTCCAGAACCATGAGGAAATAAATTTCTGTTGTTTAGGCCACCCAGGCTGTAGAATTTTGTTACAGCAGCTCTAGCAAACTAATACAGTATGCTATACTTTCCCTTCCCTTTCCAGGGTTTTATGAGAGTTCAGTAACTGTTGTTCCCATTACTGAGATGAGAAAACTGAGACCCAGCGAGGGAAGTGACTTGGCTGAGACTCCATGACTCGATGGATTTCACTGCAGAAACCTTGGGAAGAGCCTCATGCAAGAGCCTGGGTCTTATCCCATTCCCACCCCACACCTAAGCATTGGCGAGCTTTTGGGTGGTGCCTCCTCTTTGCCGGGGCTTTGCCAGAGGTCCTGGCTGCTTTCCCCATATATCCCAGCACTCTCCAGTGACCCAGAGCCCTCCTATGAATGGCAAGAGGTGGATGGTGGATTCACCAAGTGGGAGACTGAGCCTACATCAGAGACAACAGGGTCCACTGTTCACCAACGTGCTCCATCAGAGAGGCAGGAAGGTCTCCAGAGACGGTGAGGTCTCCAGAGAGGGGCTCCAGTGAATTTCCCTCCTGCCCCATCCTCCTCCCTTGCCCCACTTCTACCCAGAGTCTCTAGTGAGGATGATCAGAGATGAGAGCTCCTCTTTTTGGGGTGACCTTACCAGTTATTAGGGGTCGAATTTTGTGCCCACTTCCCCAGCCCCACTCAAAAAAATGTGGAAGTTCTAACCTGCAGTACTTCATAAAATGACTTAATTAAAAGGTAGGGTCTTTATAGGGTGACCAAGTTAAAATAAGGTCATTAGGGAGGACCCCATCCAATATGAAATGGGGAAATTTGGATACAGACATGAACAGAAGATGAAATGAGGAGACACAGGGGGAAGATGGCCATCTACCAGCTAAGGAGAGAGGCCCTCACAGCTCTCAGGAGGAATTTACCCTGCTGACCTTGAATTTGGACTTCAACCCTCCAGCTATGGTACTTCGTCACAGCAGCCCTTGCAAACTTACACAGCAGTGATCCAAATGGGAATTCCCTCCCACGGGTGGGAGCTATGATTGGTTACACCAGAGGGGTCCTAGGGATGGAGACAAATTTGGGGTAGGATATGGAGTCTATGCTAGTGGGAATTTAAATAAAGGCAGCATTTGCTACCTAAATGTGGGCACACATATGCTAGCTTCGCCTTGGTAAAAAGGGAATAAATTCAAGGTTCTTGAATGTTGATGTGGGTGCACATTTGTAGGATGCATATATATCAGTGTGTCACATGCATTCAGGGTGTGTGGGCTCATTTATTTGTTCTTTGGCTCATTCATTCATTCATCATTCATCAGTTTCTTGAATGCTTGTACACACTTATAAATGCACAGGATAGAGAAATGAATTGGCAAAGGAATATGATAGACAAGCATGGGGATTAAGGGAGCATGAAGGGGGAGCATTTGTTTCTGTTTGATATATCAGGGAAGACTTCCTGGAAGAAGTGAGCTGAAACTGGCCAGGTGAAGAGGAGGAAGAAGGTCATGGCATGTAGACATGTAGGAAGAGAAATAGCAGTATATACCCCAAACTACACACAGTTCGGGTTGGTTCTATTCTTTGGAACAGTCCTACCCCTATCTGCACCCCATCGACACTCTGGAATCCCAGGTAGCAAGGCCATAGAGAAGGCACAGATGCCCAGGAGTCAACACTTTATTTTGTTCAGGCCAATCACACTGGGAGCCCAGCATCCCCGCAAGATTTGCCTTTGTGGGCCCGTCTTGTCTCTTGAGGGTGACCGTGCTGGCTGGCTTTGGCCACTGGGGAGGCCTGGCCAGTCTCTCTGTCTCCAGGTTATTGTAGAGTTGGGAAGTCTTGAAGGGCAGCTTCAAGGAGGCTGGAAGCAAACACAGGTCAGAGTTGATGAATGGGACAAAGGATGGGTAAGGTTTTTTTTTTTTTTTTGGAGGCAGGGTCTCACTTTGTCACCCAGGTTAGTGTGCAGTGGTGCAATCATAGCTCACTGCAGCCTCCAACTCCCGGGCTCAAGTGATCTTCCTGCTCCAGCCTCCCGAGTAGCTAGGATTACAGGTACATGTCACCACACCCAGTTAATTTTTTATTTTTTATTTCTTGTAGAGGTGGGGTCTCACTATGTTACCCAGGCTGGTCTCAAACTCCTGGCCTCAAGTGATCCTCCTGCCTCAGCCTCCCAAAGAACTGGGATTACAGGCATGAGCCACTGTGCCTGCCCAGGAAGATGGGTACATTTTGATGGAGACAATGAATGGGGTGGAGGGCCTGGAATTCTGTACACCCAGGTGGCATTACTGTAGCAACTCCACAGAAAGGGATGGCAGAGTGTAGGCAGCAGAAGGAGAACAAGTGGGGGAAAAAGTTGGGATAGATTTCCCAAAGGTCCAAAAATTCCAAAGTAACCTGGCATTTACTGCATCCATGGGGTGCCATGCTCTATTCTAGGAATCTCTCATATTCTCATGAAATCCACAGTGTTACTTTAGGTAGCTGGTACTCTTATCCCTATTTTCCAACTGAGGACGCAGGGGCTTGGAGAGACTGTATCATTTGTCCAGGGTCCAATGGCTAGTTACAGGGCAGAACTGAGCCTTGGGGAGTCTTGCTTCGTCCCAAAGCCCACCATGCATTTGCATTGTTGGAGGTGCTGCATTGTATAGCTGAAAAACTAGCATCCTTGGAGAAGAACCTTGCTCAGGGTAGGAAGGGGACTTGATTAAAATGGAATGGCAGAGACAAGATGTTCTGTGATGACTTCTGCTAAGGACTGTTCCCCTCATGGATGTGTGCCCTTTACTTGGCCTTTGAAACTGCTTTCTATGTCCCCGAGAGCATAATAATGTAAATGAATATCAGATCTTTACTCGGTAATTGAGAGCAGAGAGAAGGCCATGTTAAGTCAAATTAGTTTGCTCTGATATAGTCCAAGCCTGTCTCTGCGGAAGGGGCAATGGCTTTTTGATGGGCTGAGGCTGCCTCTCGAAGAAATAGAGGATGTGTGGCTCATTTGGGTCAAGGAGGCCTGCGGGTTGCAGCAGGTGCATCCTGAGAGCCATATGCAATCGCTCGACCATCTGAGCCTTGAGCTGCAGTGAGTTCTGAGATTCAGTGACTGGGAGATTTACGAGGGCTCATAGACTCTCAGGCAGCTCTAATTTCACTCATGAAGATGCCAGGAATGTGTCCCTACGGAAAACTTTTAAAGATAAATGTAGGGATTCTAGAGCTGGAAACCCAATTCTGCCCTGGTGATTCTGTACAAGTGACTTTAATCTTTCTGATCCTCAGTCTGTCAACCTGATAAATGGGGATAAATAATATCCACCACCACTTGGGGATATCAGGAGTACTAAATGACTGTCTGATGTGTCCACTCAATAAATGTAAGCCTTGGTTAGCAATGAATTCCTCTTTTTTTTTTTTGGAGAGGGTGTCTCGCTCTGTCTCCCAGGCTGGAGTGCAGTGGCGAGATCTCGGCTCGCTGCAAGCTCTGCCTCCCAGGTTCATGCCATTCTCCTGCCTCAGCCTCCCCAGTAGCTGGGACCACAGGCGCCTGCTACCACGCCCTGCTATTTTTTTGTATTTTTAGTGGAGACGGGGTTTCACCATGTTAGCCAGGATGGTCTCGATCTCCTGACCTTGTGATCTGCCCACCTTGGCCTCCCAAAGTGCTGGGATTACAAGCGTGAGCCACCGTGCCCGGCCTGAATTCCTTTTCTTACCTTGACTCCAGATGAGTGACAGGATGAGTGCTAGGAGCGGGAGGAAGGGCAGCCAGTAGTTACTTCTCCTGCACTGTTGCTCTGTGATTTTTGTACTTGTTCCCTCCCCGCTCAACCTAGGGCCTATTTCTCTCCATATGTAATGCAAGTGGACTCCACTATTCTGAAGGTCTCTTCCAACTCGGCCCTTTGCATGTCTGCGATCCCACCACGGATCTCCCGTCATTATGTGGACAGAATGCCATCGCAGCTCCTTCAACCCCAGGTGGAATGACATTAAGAAAAGAAAATGATAGTAGGGCGAGGAAACTTTAAATATCTGGCATCTTCTTCTTCTTTTTTTTTTCCTGAGACAGAGTTTCACTCTTGTTGCCCAGGCTGGAGTGCAGTGGTGGTGCCCTCAGCTCACTGCAACCTTCACCTCCTCAGTTCAAGCGATTCTCCTGCCTCAGCCTCCTGAGTAGCTGGGATTACAGGCACCAGCCAAGACACCCAGCTAATTTTTTGTATTTTTAGTAGAGACAAGGTTTCACCCTGTTGGTCAGTCTGGTCTCGAACTCCTGACCTTAGGTGATCTACCTACCTCAGCCTCCCAAAGTGCTGGGATAACAGGCGTGAGCTACCGCACCCGGCCACATCCAGCACCTTCTTTAGCGTCATCCCACAGGAACCCCTTACTTTCTGATGTGTCTGCATTTCAAAGTACAAGGAAATGGAGGTACCCAGCTGAGGGCTCGTGAAAGGCTTTGCATCCAGCAACACATGACTTCAGCTAAAACGTCTAAAAATCTTGATCTCTAAAGAAATTAGTTGTGGCAGTAAGGACAGTATAGGAGCACTTGCTCTCCCCAAGGCTGCAAGGTGAACTCTCATTCCCCAAGAACAGCCCCAGCCTGTTGCTTTTACCTGAACTGATGTCTACTTCTGGAGATATTTTTTCATTATGCTTGCAACATCGTCGTCTTTCCTCCCTGCCCCTGGCTCTCTGTGCTCGGGGGACGTTCCCTCACCACCGTCACCCGCAAGTCGTTGGATTCCTGGTCGACTTTTGATGCTGTCAGCACTTTTGAAGGACACGATGGAGCTGGAGGATGAGGACGAGTCGGACAGGTGAGCAGGATCCTCCTTGGGCTCTGGGCTCTTTTTCAAAATGGTCTTGATCCCCGAGAGAAAGGAACGATCAGCCTCTTTCGTCTCAAAGTGGACACTTGAACGCTGTGAACCGTCTTGCCCACCTTTGGCTGCTCCGGCCAAGGATGTAGGCGTCTGGGGCTTCCGGATAGCTGGGAGGAAGTCATCGAAGTCCACTTTGGTCTTGCGTTCGTAGTCGAGGCTTGGGAGTTTCCAGCTGAAGGGGTCACTGCCTAGAGGTTCCTCCATCAGGTGGGCAAACTGGCGGTTCTGGAAAACGAGCGGCTCCTTTCCAAGGTCTGGACAGCCCGCATCGTCCACAGAGGACTCCAGACACCGCCTCCGAGGACGCAGTGTGGGTGACAACAGCATGTCCCTGGGTGCGGTCGGGGAGCTCAGTTTTCTCCCCATGCTCGGTCTGGATTCTAAGAGGGACTCGCAGGAACTGAATCGGGTCTTCGCCTTCTCGGGGAGTAGGGTCGTGCCCCCGACACCATCTGAAGAGATGCATTTGAGGCTGGTGGACCTCAAGAGACCACCAGCGGCCCCTTCGATTTCCAGGGGTGACTTTGCCCCAACCCTCAACGAGAGGTTTCCCTCGTCACTGCCAGCCCTGCCCCTCCTTAGTGTGGAAGCCCCAGTCGTCTGATAAATGGGGAGAGTGGGCCAGTCCTCCAGGCCCAGCGTGGACCCCTGGCCTCTCTGGGCTCTCTTCCTCCGGAGCCCTTCCACGAACTCCGAGAGGGCCGCTGAAGGACTGGGCAGCTTTTCCCTCGATAGCGGGGATGTATTTGTACTCCGAGAAGCCAGGGGAGAGGACGCAGCTTCTAATCTCTCTGTGGACTTTCTCTGGACGGCAAGCCCTTCGCCGTCCCCAAAATGACAGTACTTTTGCCGGCGGACGAAGTGGGGAGAAACAGGCTTGTCTCCCGAGGTCTTGCTGCGGACATCTGCGGACCAGGCTCTGCTCAGTGCCGATTGGGTCCTCTCAGCGTCCCCAGCCTCCTCATTTATCCTGTGCCAAGAAGAAAAATGCAGTCTGTAGAAATTGTGCAATTCATACAATTTGTGCAATCGGTGTGAGAGCCCCTAAGCACAGGCACTAATATTATTTTTCTTTGGAAATACCATCCCTATCGCACTCTCAAATGAACCATATGATTTAATGTGCAAATTCAAGCCATGTAAATGATTTCTTGTTGCTTTCTGAATGCAATTTCTGTCTATAATTAAACCCAGCTAAGTACATTTGAGTAGATTAAAACTGCAGCTAGGACGGAAGAATTAGATTTATGAGGCATCATATCTGACATGATAGGACCTATCATCCCAGAGCTTACTGTGAAATAAGTAGTTTGCTTCTTCAAGACCGGAAGGGGACATACACTGGGTTGTTTGTTTATTTGGGGCGAAGCCCAGAGGACAGTCCCACTAAGTGGGGCTTCTGAGAGTCAAGACCCAAATATGTATCTCCACAGGATGCCCCATGACATCCCTGATTGTTTCATGGGGTGAGGGTGTAGGTAAAATCTTGTTCCCCCAGAAGGGAAAGACTCACATGAAATCAACTTAAAACCAAGACTAAACACAAGAGGACAGACGGTTTCTATTCTGGGACTCCACCAGACGTGGCTTTTATGCAGAGGGAGTTTGTAGCAGCAGCGCCAGAAACACTTTGCCTCTGAAAAGTAGAAGCCTCACAGTGGGACCAAATTAGAGACTGTAAAATAAATGGCATCATTCAAAGGAGAGAGACTGGAGTCCACCAACCTTTCCTTTAATAAATAAAATCTATCTGTCCTCTCTCTAAGAGAAACGACCCCCTTCCCTCCCACCAGCAAAGTCACAATTTATTTTTTTAAAAAGTAAAAAGTGGCCAAATGTCAGAGTTTTGGCATTGCAGATAAAGCCACTGTGGGTGCAGGCCTGAAGAGACGCTGAGGGCAATGCATACGCGGGTTTCCAATCATGGGGTCCCTGCCTCTGAGTGCATTGCTGCTGGAACTGTAACAATTGGGACGACTGCAGGATTCGGACCTCTATGTATAAAGCGTGACTGAGATTCTGCTACAAGACTTTGGGGAAGACTTCTTGCTTACCCAGCTGGATAACACCATTTCCACTCCTGATCACACAGGACAATTTAGGAGAAAAAGAACTGACCACAATGGCCCAATGGGCTTTTGAATCTGGGAAGGAAGCCAAGCCAAGGTCCCTTGAGGTGATGCCATGGAAGGCAGGGAAGGAATGGTTGGGGCAGGAGAGCAGCATCTTTCCCAGGGAAATAGGTGGGGGCTGAAATAGACTCAATGTTTGCCTCCCCTGAAAATCAATATGCTGACACCTAATCCTCAATGTGATGATATTAGGAGGTGGGGCTTTTGGGAGGTGATTAGGTCACCAGGGTGAAGCCCTTGTGAATGAGATTAGTGCCCTTATAAAAGAGGCCCCAGAGGGCTCCCTCACCCCTTCCACTGTGTGAGGACACAGTGAGATGGCCATCTATGAATCAGAAAACAAATGTAACTGCCAGCACCTTGACCTTAGATTTCCCAGCCTCTAGAACTATAAGAAATACATTTCTGTTGTTTATAAGCCAACCAGTCTATGGTGTTTTCGTTATAGCAGCCAGAAGAGACTGACACAGGCACCTAGACCCTGCCTTCCTGAGCGCCCGTGAGGACAGAGCTTCAGTGATTCCACAAACCTATCTCCTCTAGGTCTGGCAGGAGCTCCCCAGGCTGGGGGCCTGTGTGAGGTCACCATGGCAACGATGGGCCCAGCTAAAGGGCTTCATGAGGACAAGGCATAGAGCTGGCTGTGATCATCTGCCTCTCCTTATTCCCCATGTCAGATGGAAGAGGATTGCAGTAGCGGTCTGGTGATGGTAAGATCTGGGTGTCAAGGTGGCAACGTGGAGGAGCTACCTCCTCTCTCTCTCTGACCATCACCCTCAGTCCTTCTCCTGTGTGATCAGGCTTGCTATTCCTGCCCTCTTGCTCACCCTGTTCCAGGACGCTGTTCTCCTGGGACAGGCCAAGCCCTCCCTGCTTCTGGGTCTTGCATGAGCAGTTCTACCTGGAGTACTCCTTTCACTCCCCGAACCCTAGTCATGGTGCCTTCCTCCTGGGGCAGCCGGGACAGTGAAAGAAACGCCCTTGATACTGTCTCTGGCACCTAATCACCCAAATAATGGTTAGTGGTTATGATGAATAATTTATAACCAATAATAAATGGTTATTAATCATTAATAATTAAAGGCAATCATTATTACTACTATTTAACTTCTGGATCTCCAGAACCCAACTCCACACTGGACTCAATAAAAGCCTCAATTGAAGTTCAAAGAGGGATGCACAGGAGAATGAATGGGCAGGTGACCTTCAGCTCACCACAAGAAGAAAGGTTGGTTCCCATGTGCTAAAACAAAGGCCACACGTTTGCCCAGAGCAGCTCCCTCCTTTCCTATTTCTTGCCTGTTCCCATCACAGCTGGACATGGGCTGGAAGAGGAGATAGAGGGCTCCTTTGTGATTCCCCGAAGGCATATTTGTCAACTTCATTGCTTTGGAATCACTCCCCGAATACACGGCAGGATGGCATTCACACGCCTGTATTTTTTTTTTATTCCCTACTTTTTATTAATAAACAGCTTGGAGCTGCCAGGGGCAGTGGGCTGCTGCAGAACTGACAAAAGTCATTTCCATCCTGTCCTGGTCCTGAAAGGAGGCGGGTGTGATGAATGAGTGTCTTGGATGCTCTGTCTCATCCATTGCCTGCCACGTGAGGAGGGCAACATTGAGGGCTCCTGTCACCGAATCTCCCGGGACTCTGCCATCCTGCTCACCCTAGCTTCCACTGCCACTGCTGGCTGCAGACGCCAGGGCAGGGCATAAAAATGGAGGGTGAAGAAGTCCCAAGAGGAGGAAGAGGAGGAGGAGGAGGGAAGAGGGGGAGCCAAAAACATAGGGGGGAAAAAGGCATAAAAGTAGGTGGAAGGAGAATCACAGACCACAAGTCTGAACTGACAGTGTCTTGCTGACTCTCATTTCTGCACCTCCGGAGTTGGCACCAAGCCCAACATGTAGTAGATGTTCAGCAAATGCTGTCAAATTCAATCAAGGTAGATGAGAAAGAAGAGGTAGTCAGGATGAGAAAAGTGAAGGGAGGGCAAAGAAATGTAGGAAGAAGAGAAGGAGGGTCAGAGCATGAAAGAAGAGGAGGCAGTTTAAACAGGAAAGAAGTTGAAATGAGATGGAGAGAAAGAGGAAGGAGACCCAGAAGGGCAGTGGTGATGGAGAAGAAGGAAGGAGACTTAGGCAAAGGCAAGAAGGAGAGAAAGGAACATTGCAGAGGCCTTTCTGGCTGGCAACGAAGGATCTGCCATCTTCGGCTTTGACAAAAAGGCAAGATAGGCTGGGGTCCATGGTGAAGTAACCGGCTGCCCGGAAATGGGGATCTGGAGGTCACAGTCTGAGTGCTGGTGATCAGGTGCAGAGGCCATAGGTTTGCTAGGCCTAAGCCAGGAAGGTTCCCAGCTATGCCGGCACAGGGGAAGATTCACTCGCCTTCCCTGGGGCCCTTGAGGGGCAATGCCTTCTACAAGGCATGGAAGCCAAGATGTTCCAGCACAGCCACTCAGGCCCAGCTTGGCTGTCACGGGGTCTGATGTCTTGAGATTGGAGTGAGCTGAGTCCCACCTTTCTGGAATGGTCTGGTGCCTTTGAAACCTCAGCTGGTGAGCTTAAAACAGGAATACAAGCCATGCAGTGTAGACTCCTGGTGGTGGGGGCTGGAGAGGAGAAGAAGTGGGGGTCAAGTGAGGAGAGAGGGGGAAGAGAGGGCAAGAAGGAAGGAAAGAAAGAAGCTGCCCACGGCCAAGTGCTTCTTCCTGGCTTTCCCATGCAGAAATCCACCCACATCTCTGCAAGTGCTTTTTCCATTTCCTGTCTGCACCACCTCTCAAGGTATAAAGTTCCTTGCATCCACTCCTTTCTGTATAGAGACTGAAGAATTTAACCTGAATTCAGATGTCCTTTTGTAGGCTTTGGGATAAGGATCCCAAGTTCTGCTGAGTGAGGTTGGATGATCACCCCCGCTCCTGTCCCAGCGCTGGACACTTCAGACACATCCTATCTGACTTCATCTGGGGACCAGTAAGAGTCTTTTTTTTCCTTGTAGCTGTCTTCACAGGACCAGCTCGGTGTGGCTCAGATGGAACTCCCCATCATCATCATGATGGAGGGATGTCGGATAGTCAGGATGTTACGGTGTCTGCTTCCCGGAGCCTGGGCCAGGGAGAGAGATGATGTATAGAAGGCTCTCAGAGTCACTGAGAGACAGGATAGGCAGGGGTACTGTTACTCTTCAAGGAGAGACTCCAGAAAAGCCTTGGAGACATCTGCTGCCTGCCCTGTAGTCTGTCCAAAAAGGAATATCCTTCTGGTATACCTGCTACGGGAAAGAGCCAGAGGATAGTCCTTGAGCATCCAGCCACAAAGACGCTGGGCTGGTTCTATAACTTAGTGGATGAAATAGTCATTGGTCACAATGGCTACCCCTGACTAGATACCTACTTGCGCCAGGTGCTGTGATGGATACCAGGAATATAGGAGAGAGCAAATGGATGGTTCCTGCCCTCACAGCAACCCTGAGAGATAGGGATTATGATCTCCAGGCACAGAGAGGCTGAGTAACCTCTGCAAGCACACACAGCTGGCAACCAAGTCTGGTTTTACCACTCACTAGCCACGTGACCTGGGGACCACTGCTTAACTTCTCTAACCCTCAGCTTCCTTAGCTGAACAATGAGGGAAACCAGATTTGCCTTGCAATGCTGTGGAGATCAGAACTCCATGAGGGCAGGATTTTTATGCATTGTATTCGCTGCTACCAGTGTCTATAGAACAATGTCTATAGAACAATGTCACAGTAGGTGCTCAATGAATTTGCGTTGAGTAAGTGAGGGAAGCACCAGGGCCCTAACACCTTGTAGGTGCTCCATAAACATGTGTTG